CCCTTTAAGACATAATGAAAGTCGCATGATTACGTTTTTAATTTGAGAGAAAATAAATGGGAATGATCTTAACTTGGTTCCATAGCTGAACTTACACAGGAAAAATTGAATGCTGAATAAAAAAAAAATATTTTATCGGTAAAAATTAGCTGTTTATATCGGCAAACAGTTCCCGTTTTGTATTCCAAGTCGAACGAGGGCTGTGCAAATTGTATTCCTAACATTACTGGTTTTGAGGTTTAATATATTGGTCAACTAATATTCCATATATTTTGAGTTCCAGTGACGTGTAAAAATGGACAACAGAAAGTTCAAATAGAGATGACAAACTTTACATCATTGTTTCTCCATCTGCCAAGTACAAATCATGATTTCATCGTTACAATCTGGCCAAGTTTGTTAATATTTTAAATAAAAAAAACCTATAAATTTATTATTTATGCTATATGTTGCACATTTTATTGATGTGCTAGTGTTAGTGTTGACCATAAATTATGTATTCGCTACTTGATATCGCTTGAAATAAAAATATACAGTATGCCGTATTGCACTGGGTATTTTCATTCTATCGTATTAGGAAACGCGAATTCCAAATATGGAATGATTATGTGCGTAAGCGCCCTCTATTATATACCTGGTTCACAGAGATTAGAAAATACACCGTTGTAGGGCCAGTGAGAACACCGGTATTCGCATTGGCTCTACAACGGTGTATTGCGTTTGCGATCACGCGACTTTAAAAAACGCCGGCGTAATTTCATATTAGGCCTGTGTATCACCCCCTCTGTAGTTTGATCCGTGTTTGAACATTTTCGTACCCTATCACATCGCATATTATTTTCAATTGCACAATTCTGCGGGTTTATCTCACCCCAATTCCCTGTCTTTTAGTGCAATAGTCCTGTAAACCTGCTATCATAGGAGGTTCCGTGTATCAATCTAAAAATACTTTCCTCTTGTCAAATAGAAATCAGTAGCAGGACGTCATTATTATCCAATTATTTTCGAGACTACTCGTTCTACTGACCAGAGCGGTACGTGTATCACTCGTCGTCATGTCGTTGCTATGGACGTAGACAAGATTTCCCGATAGAGGGTTTTTGTGCCACTGTGCGTGTTCACAAACACTTTTGTCAGAAGTCAGAAAGTTTACGCCGGTGTGAAATCCGCCATTTTCACACCGGCGTAAACTGGCCACACGGGTAAAAATAGCACCGTCGTTAAATTTACGGCGGTGGTACAACAACGTAAATGTTACGTGTGAATCAGGCAAATAAAAACAAAACATGGCTGCCACCAGGGTTTGATCGGACCCCACACAAAGAAGTTCGCTAAATATGTTCTAAACGTTTTGGATTTTGGCATTCCCATGATGTATTCCTGGGAGGAAAAGATGTATAATAACAGAGGTACATTACTTGGGGTTTGCAACTACGGTGACATGATACCAAGATCCCGTTTCAATCTCGCTCTCGCATAAGCATTCCAACTCAGAAAAATGCCGCGAATGCGCATGCCCGAGGTAACTAGGATACTGGAATGTACAGGTGGACCAAAATAGCTGCTCACGATATGACGGATTACGATAACTTTATTTTCTGTACATTTTCGATGTATTAATTTGTTTCACTATGAATGTGGTAATACATGTTTTATTGATTATTACAAACCGCCTATTTCATGTTTGAAGGCCGTAGCATCAGTCTCGCTATCTACGAGATGAGACTTTAATGGGATCTTGACATGATGTCACCATACAGTACTGTGCGCGTTGCAAACCCCAAGTAATGTACCTCTGATAATAATGAGATTATTAAGAGGATACTGCAAAGTATGCACTCAGAGACAGTACGCGATCGCATCGACCTTCGCTGCGCGTCGGTCGATATTCTCGTTGTACTGTCTTCGTGCATACTTTGTAGTATCCTCGTAATAACCTCATATTATACTATGAATAAATAATACCATAAATAATATATGAAATATTGGACCATTGTTTCTGGTCCAATAACGGCAGTTTGTCTTGTTCGCTCAAATAATTATGTACCTTACAAATTATTCAGTAAAGTACATTTTTGGTACATTCAGAGTAGAATAATAATAAAACAGAAACGAAATAGAAATATAAAATGATAAATGAAAATATAAAATGATAAATGGAAAAATAAAATGATAAAACTATAAAATGGTAAATGAAAATATAAAATGATAAATGAAAATATGATAGAAACCTCGTCAAAAGTCATGATGCCAAATGACAAACGAACTGGCAGTTTGAAAAAAAAACCCATAGAACTTAAAAAAAATGGAATCAAAAGCAAAACTTTAAAACAAAGCCAGAATGAAAATGGAACATTAAAAACAGAAAATAAAACTCCAGAAAACGAATTGTTATACGGCTTGAAATAGAACAATATGAATATGAAACATTGGACCATTGTTTTCCAATCAAGTTTAAAATGGGTAGTTTTCCTTGTTACAGCCACTGGCAGCAGCACAATGTGTTTTTTTGTGTAAAGATTACACTTATTAAGATCTACCTGCTGACAGCAAGCATCATTTTAGTTTGCCTATGTTTCCTATCAGTACTATATTTACAAGGACTGCGTTTCAGATAATGTAACGCCCTCTATCAGTAGTCTGTTGAAATCAAATGCGTATTGAACACTGTCCAATCACAGTGAGCATACATCATAAATACGACTTCGAACGTATCACAACCTATCATAAGTTAAACGTTTATTTCCTCAACGACAATGTGGTGTCGACCATTGGTCCCTTGATGGCAGGTGTTACCAATATGCCATGTTAATATGAAATGAGGGAAACAATGCAAACATCAAAAGAACTTGAACTTGGATGTGGAGGTATATCACCTGTGTGTAAACTGAAAACGCACGTCATACACCTGCAATGTTATTAGTATAAAAAGAATACTAGTAATATATGAAATGTTCGCTGAACCTCGTTAAACTGCAACAACAGGGGATGCATTACTACCTGGAATCAAAGTCATGCACGAAATATTAAAGGGCTTTGGTCGTCGCGCCGCGCATGTGCGATATTTGTGTTGATAAACATTGATTTTACCACAATTCAATGCGCTTTTCTAATAGAAATCACGAGTACGAGTTCGAACCTGGACGCGACTTGCACTAATTACCGCAGGTGACTACTTCGATACCTTCCAATCACCAAAGAAATTATCTAGTTAAAACGTCTTAGTTTGTACTCGTCAAAGTCGCCATCTTTGTTCATATAAGAGACCCATACCTCGCGCATGCGTGGCGCGCCGACCATCGATTTTTAACCGTGACGTTGACACAGAGAAACAATATTCTTGATCATAATAAATTGCCCCTCAAACAACTGTCCCATTAATCACATTATGTTAATTCTGGAAATTGTATTGGATTTAGACGTTGAACAAAACAAAAATGTGTCCAGTTTTACATGTTTGCGCCCTCTATAGTCTAAACCGAGGACCGCCAATTCAGTAATTTGTTTTCAACTTTTCAGGAAAACGTTACTTTGGCTATGGACATGTATTTTATTGAACAGCATTGACTTGACTACATTCAATTTACGGGACCACCGAGGCAGCCGTGATGTAATATGAGTACAACATTAATTATTGCACAGATGGCTCCTCTGTGGTGGTAAAAGCATTGCCAAAAAAGATAGTGAAATGATCACAATTACGTGACAAGACGCAAAGTGAGTCACTTACATTTTAAAGCACAGTTCAACCTATTCCGATAAAGTGAATAGGTGAAAGTTCGAACTACATGAAAAATATCAATGTCTGGCTGACTAAATCTACGCATGTACGGTAAACTACGCATTCTTAAAGAACGGTGGTCGCCGTGCAGCGCGTGTTCGAAGTACATGTAAACAAACAATGCATTTTACACGCGTTGCATACAGAACGCGGCGCGACGACCACCGTTAATATTAACCAGTATATAGCGTCAAGGGGCTCCTCGGTGTCCCAAACACTGTTCAACACACAATACCCAATTTTATTTGGGGGCAATTTTCAGTAAGTAAGTAATTATGCTTTTCGTGTCACAAGAATTCATAAGAAAATAGTGCCAAAATGTTACATTTTCAGCTATTTATTCCGCCAAAACAAACAAAGAACATTTTCTACTGGGTAAAAACTTGACTACCCGTGTCCAATTTAATAATAATTTATTATGTAACAACAGCAAACTTTGAAATAACTATTATTGCGACACTACTTTGCAACAAATCAAACACGAAAATACACGATAACTTTCATTATTGTTAAAGGGGAACCGCTCAATCCCTTGGATTGCACCAAAGAATCATAGGACACTATTGTTTATGTTGTTTACAATGTTAATCTATCTTTTGTTATCCTTTGTTATTTTAATCCAGAAAGAAAATTTGTTGTGAAATTAATCTTAACTGGAAGGTGCCCCTTTAATACCGGTGACTGAGATAGCAGTATACCTGTATAGTTTTGAACAAATACTATACTGTGTTTCCTACAGTCTATTGAGAACACCTGAACAACATATAGGTAAAAGTCAAATGTCAAGTAAATACATAAAGTTGTTTCCATCCACTTTAATTTCAGTGTTTATGATTACGCAGTGATAACAAAATATATCATTCGCATGTGTTACGTTGTTTGTACAACTAATTGTTTAAACTGTACTCACAGTTGCTGTTTTCCTATCTTATCTGCTGTGTATATATTAAGTGCGTTAATCGGGTAAACCGATTATCTTAGATAAATGCTTGTGAAAGCGGCGCTCGCCGTCACGTTTGAAACGCAGTGACGGTGTTTCAGCTGAGGGATCCACGTACTAGTACTTTTCTTCAGCTTTCCCGCGCCCATCCCACCATTGATTTGAATATCAATGCGTTTTCGCTTGTGTGAATAAAATTAAGCTTTACCTAGTGGGCGGAAAAGCTTTCCATACTCAGAGGTAAGTATGCCCGCGGTTGGCGAGTATTGTGCACTCTGCGAAGACTCTCGTTATGGTTGTTGATGAAAACCCGAATATGTCAAGTCTCTTGAAAAAAATAAAACAATATACAAAAGCATATAACAATGTGGAAAACGTAAATGGGTGTTTGCACGGGCGGGTATGTCACGTGTCACCATTAAGCCGCCATGTTAGATTTTTCACTTTCATTAGGAAAGGTGGGCGGAAATAGTTGGTTATAAACAATATGGGCTTGGCGGGTCGAATTATGTAAATTGGGTCGGTTTTGATGGTTTATTAAGAAAGGTGACCTAAAAATACGTGCTTGGAATGGTGAGTCATCGAACCCCATCGAACTAGGGGTCTATGAACATGAGTGATTGTGTTGTAAAAATGAGTGATACGGCCGAGACCTGTCCCGCAGGTAGACCTTGGTTTTACGTGAAAAGACTTACGCCACCAAGAAAATAGTTCGCTCAACTCGTTAATTTAACTAAAATAATTAAAAACTATGGACTATATTTAAAGCAATCATAAAATAAAATCGTGTAAGATTGATTTAAGTGTTGAATGCTCTGAAATTTACTTGTGAGTCCGCTTCATACTTCTGATTGGCGGAGGGATATTTTTATAGTGACCAAGGTTTGGCGTGTGTATTCGTCGGACAGCGTCTCTCCAGCACGCCCTTTGAAATTTGCTGTGTGCGGTGGATTTTGACAGATACAACATCCCGGTGATACGTTTTTCGGCTATTCGCAGGTAGGACAACATATTTAACACATGCAGCTAATATGTGCATATTCCGCTGGCGATGTTATCGAAATATAGGGACGTTTTAAAGCAGTTTTTAAGTGCAAATCGTACACTGAGTGATTGTATTGTAATATGTATTGGCGGCCATTTTGTATAATTTCCTCCGGACTTAATGTCTATATTTTGAACTGTTTTGCACGAATTGTGGATTGTTTTGCCTGAGAACATATACTGCTTATATGCGACTGGTCCCAAAACATTGATGTGAGGAGCAACGAATGTAATATGAGACGAGTCAGGAGTCGGCAACTCTCGTAAACAGACGGGAGATTTGAGAGTAAATTAGCGCGTTTAGTCCACACTGGTATATAGCTTGTTTGTCGTATTACATACTTGTGTACTCCGTAATAGCAATTCTTTGGAAGTGAGTTTACATTTGTTGGCATTCCAGCTACTTTAGTGTTTGATATGTGTGGCAGTGATAGCCACTTCGGCGTGATTTCTCGGTTCAGTGCGCCGCTGTAAAGACCCCCGAACACATCATAACACGGAATCGAACATCGATTGACCGTATAGCAGTGGCATGCCCTGAGCTGTTTTCCATTTTAATTGCACCATATTGAATGGTACTGACTTTGAACGCAGATATCACATTGGTATTGTTATATACGATTTTGTTGTTGTTTTTGTCTGATTGACCTACATATATGCGGTAACTTTTTCAATCGAATATTAGGATGGATCTGAGCAGTCTTCGGCGCGAGTACAGATAGTGGGGTCATGCGTTTCTTACACATTAATTTTTTTTACGCCCTAGGCTTTCACCGGCGATATCAGGCTTCATAAATGTATTATATTTTTATATATTGCAGTATGACTCAGTGTGCCCTTGTAATATATTGTTTGACAGTTTTATATGGAACGGGGGAAACCCTAAAGTATAACATTGATCAGATAAGAACTGTACTCTGAACTCTAGGGTTCTCGTATTCCTTGTGATTACTCTGGGCTACCACTTACAAGTGACCGTGTTGGGCACTTTACTCAAAACCATGCCTGACTGACTCTATATAATCTTTTGGTATAGGATTTGACCTTAACAACTTTTCCTGTAGATCAGTCTGTTGAATGAAAGGTTATTTTCATGAATATTCTAATTGTTTAGGTTGCCATTTTAGTTCAAATGAGTCACTGGAGCAAAGGTCAAACACTGACTAGGTTGTTAGACACTATGAGCAATCATGATTGTTTAATTTTCAAATTACTGCTGAAATGTCTTTTCCTCTTTTATTGTACTGACAGGTAGGTAGCTTTTTAGGCGCCATACATTGTAAACATCTATTTGATCATTTGTTAAATGACCTTGGAATCTACTACATGTATAATAATTTGTTGTCATAATAGGTTGAATAAAAACAATATGCATTACTTCTATAGGATTTCCTTGGTGTCTTTGTAGTAGACTATTTACTTCACAATTTGTTAATTATTTTAGTCTTAAAATTGGGTTTGTCTTCTGTCCCAGTTCATATGCGAGAACACTTTTGTAATTTATGTTGTTCAATTTAACACAGTGATTTATGTTGTTCAATAACACTTTCATATAAATTTTAATGATAAAATTATAAAATGTAATAAAAAATCCATCTTCAAAGAAATTATGGAATGAGTTTTTTAAGGCTCCTAACCTAAACCCTATCAACCGCCCTCAATGTAATTGTACATGCCCCTAAAGATCAATATACATGACCGAAGAGGAGCATGTACGATTAAAATACAAGAGGGATGCTGGATTAGAGTTGAGAGTTTAGTAGCCTTTTTCTGTTAATTTATTATCTGCAGAGAATTCAGTGGACATGTAGAATGAGTGTATTAAAGTTGCACTCTGAGATCATTCATATTAGGTTCTTGAGATTGTCGTGTAAAATCGTCTGAATTGCATGAATTGACGTAGGATGTATGTAACGAACGTTCAAATTTTGATGATTCTCAGTGCAATCAAAGGTTGCCAATTGTTTGGGCTTCTGATTTCATGGTGTGTTCAAATTTGATTTAGATGCTTTTGAATCAATGTTGTTTTTTGAATTAATACAACTCGCATAAATTGGAATAAGGATGTAATCAGTAAAGTACCAATTATTTTCTGCAATTTATACGTATTCAGACCAATAGTTATTTAACACAAGTCCTGAGACTCTCGTAAAACTGTACAATGACTTCACAGTGCAATTTTAATTGATTACTTTTTAAAGTAGCTGTTAACTCTGCAACTGAAACATAAACTGAAGAGTTTGGTATTATAATCAGCCACTGGTAACATTTTAATATGCTCTTTTCAGAACACAATATACTGAAAATAGTATATTTTTGTCAGACTGAAATGTTTATGATTTGATAACATTCACAAAGAGTAAATTGCATAGTAAGATTCTTTCTGATGAATCTTGGTGACATTTTAACAATTTTTCTTGTCATTGATCGACATGCATGTTTCATTATGCAAATTTGGGCTGACAGTGCACAGCGTACTGCTCCCTATTTACAACCAGAATATGGCGTAACATGTGCGCTAACACAGTCTCTAGCGTCTGGAGACAATACTGCCATACGTTCTAAATCGTATGATTTACTGGTTATTGACTTGTCATTGTAATTTTTGTATATTTGAATTGAAGTGACATTGGGTGGTGCTCTGAACCACAGCTTGTCATTTTAAATTCAACCACAGCTTGTTAACAGTCTGTTTCAATTTGGCTTTCTGACTTTGTAAGTAGCGGATAACATGCAATTGGAGTAGGTAGGGGTTCTCTCTGGTTGCCAACTTTTAATATAAACTCCTCTAATTAAAAGTCCCTAGTCAAGTACATTAATTTCAAGCTGTTTAATCATAATGCTTTATATATTTCACTACCCCAGCTTGCTGTTTCCTGTGATGTGTGTGAATAGGATTCTTTTGTTTCTCGCATGTTTTTGTGAATGAGTGTATGTAGAAAGAATACCAGCACTTCTGTTAAGCATTTGCTAATGCATAATTAATTGATAAGTGGCTAAATACTGTAAAATGATTCTTTTTAGCTAGCATGTCATTTTAGGTAATTTCACAAATTCAGAATATTTAGTATATTCTCACAATGAGATTGTTGGCATTTTAGCTAAATTAAGATTTTGTTAATTTATGTTTTGAACCAAATTCGCTAAAATGGCATTACAGTAAATCTGGCTAAATTCTTCATATTAGTATTATTCATATATTCTTGACAAAATAAATGACTTGATGGCCAAAGTTTTTTTATACTTGAGGTTCTGGAATACTGCTTATTGCTAATGCCATTGCTATTGCTAGCTAAAGTGTTACACACAAGTTCTGATAATACTAAATGGATAAATGTATGGGATTTGATAGCATGCCGTGGACATACAATTTCATGAATGTTGATGGACACCAGTTATATATTCATGGTTTTTCCTGAATTGTGTTATGACTGAGCATGTACTAAGATAAGTTTAGCACTTTTAACTGCAAAATTAAACCAAGGAGGTATTTTGGCATATTTTCTTGCACCAAATATGACTTGCCCACGGCAATACGAGTATAAATCAATGAGTTATAACATTTTTATTGGTAATCAATAAAACTATGACATAATTCCAAGGACTATAGACCTTGCTCGAAATGTTCTCAGTTTTATATGGTGAGACGACAAAATACACAAAAGTCACTGACTGCCCTGGTCTTGAAGAACCCAGTGAAATACTCACTGGTACAATTTTTCACATTTTTGTTTCTGAATTATTATCTCGCAAAATTATAGCGGTTTATAGTATTAAAATTCCAAACATTGACCCTCCTAACTCATAATGTATTTATGATAATAAAATCACGATAATAAAGTTTATGGGTGACCAGCAATCTCCACATGTTGGGATTTTTATTGGTAGTTATGAATAATTATGTTGCTAAGCTTTATGAATATTCTCTGGATTTTTAGTAATTATGCTAATTTCGATAGAAACCAAAGACTTCAGTGACTTGGTTGACATATTGTACACTTTAGATCTCGATTGTGGGACTCGTAGTATAAAATAAAACAGCCCAGTTTTTACATTGCCGTTGATAGTTTTAAGGTCAATGCTTGTTTTTGCTGCACATCCAACATTTATCCTTTTTTTTATGCAAATCAATACATTAAAAACAGACACTGCCAATATTTAACTATTTTGCACATGCGTGGCATGACTTGGTAGTTAAACTTTTAGTCCAGCGTGAATGCGTTTGCAATATGTATTAGTGTTGCACATCTATTACTTTGCATCCTGGAGGGCTTTCATCAACTCAACATACGTCATTGGTGTATAACTTTTCTTTGAAATATTGACTTTCAAATTCGATGTACAGTTTAACATTTGGGCTGATTTGAAATGTTGGATAGTACCGTAAAATCTGTATTAGAAGCCGCATCCCTAATAGAAGTCGCACCCATTCTTTTAAACAATTGGGAACCAAAAAATCATCATTTCTCATATGTGTAGATGCTCTAATAGAAGCCGCACCCCCTCTATTGGATTGTACCATTTTAATAGAAGCCGCGGTTTCTAATACAGATTTTACAGTACTCGTTATTGCTGTTGCTGGCTTGGTAAGTAATACACTGTCCTATGTTGAACTCTTTGATATACGTCTGCTGTATTCATTGACCTCAATGATGCTGTTCTACTGTACATGTGTCTGGTTGCCATTTTAATTGCAGACATGCTTCCTGAAATGGTCACTTGCATACTAACGCTAATTTATTACTATCATGGCAAACTTTAGCGTAGGGATGAACCAATTTTATTCAAGATGATGGGGGTGGTGTTGGAGAATTAATGAGCCGATTATTGTGTGATGCCATCGCTTCCACTTCTCAGAGTTTTGGGTCATTAGTTGCTTTTGTGGTTTTGTAGGCTTTCGACAGATTTGTCTGATTTCACTGCGAATTTAAAGTAATTTATTGTATTGTATAGAT